AAAGAACTTGGAGGATCTGGGGAATCCAACAGGAAGCGCTGTGGCAGCTGTCTGTGCACAGGCATTGGCGTCCCAGGTCTGACTTCAGACCACTTTTCTGAGGTTGGAGTTGGGATGCCGAGTTTTTTGGCCTTTTAAACAGCATCTACCAGCTCTAGGATTGCCCAGTGAAGACTTTTTATCTCGCCACTCAGACAAAAAGCTTCTTAGAATGACTTGCATACAATCAATAGTGAGGCAGTCCCTGCCTGCAGGCTTACAATCTAAAAAGACATGTCACATAAGGAAAAAGGATGGGGAGAGAAGAGGGGAAAATAGAAGTCGTCTTCCAGCAGAGCTGCTAGAATAGCTTTCCTTCCCTTCTCATCTGCTCCTGTTCTAGGCATATACCTTTATGTCTTGGTTCCCTTACTATATCTTCCATAATTAGGCACAAATTTAGTTATCAATAATATAAAAATATAAAAAGTGATTGAGAATATGCATTTCTCAATCAACGGCTTGGGACCAGGATACCTGAAGGAACATCTCCTTCCTTATATGCCCTCACACCCCTTAAGGTCTAAGGGAGAAGCCATGCTCCGGGGACCCTCTCTAAGAGAGGTTTAAAGGTCATCAACTCGGAGTAGGGCCTTCTCTGCTGTGGCGCCCAGACTCTGGAATGTTCTCCCCAGAGAGGTACGTCTGGCGCCAAGTTTATACTCTTTTTGGTGCCAGGCCAAAACTCTTTTGTTTAATAGTTATTTTAAAAATTAGCATTTTTAGTGGTTCACAGCCGCTTTTGATTTGATTTATCTATATTGGTTTAAAGTAATTTTATTTTTAAATTAAATTTAAATAGAGTGTTTTATTGATTGTTTTTATGACTATTGGTTTTAATCTTGTAAGCTGTCCTGAGATGCGATAGAGAAGGACGGCATATAAATGTTTTAAATAAATAAATAAATAAAAATTTCTCATAGGCTAAGTTATGAAAATCTAGGCTTTTTCTGTCAGCAATGGACGAGGGGCTGAAAGCTGCCTGACAACCTGCAAAACACAGGAGGAATGGATTTGACAGCATCTGCACATCTGTTCCTCACTTCCAAAATTCTGGACACAATCCAGCAGAAATTAGAATCATATATTTGTGGACTCAGAAGGGTCCTTGGAAGATATCTGGTCAGACTCCGTGCTCAGGGCACAAAGTATCTCATAGATGGTGATACAAAAGGAAACGCTACTACCTCCTGATGGATTCTGTCAAAATCGGTTCTGTTAGGCCATCCCATTGTCTTAAATAAGCAGGCACCACAGCTTACAATTGCTAGATTGGACATATCTGTGATTCACCACAAGCCCAGAGAAAACACGAAAACTGCTTCAGAATTTGACTTTTCTTGGCATTGGCTAACAGTTGCTCGGGACTTTGCGTCTCTGCCTGCGTTGACAAAATATACCAGGCCTTCCAATGGGCACCGCTCCCATGCTGTCTGCCTCTCCAGACCTTTTGCTTTAAGATTTTTAACCATGAAAGAAAATCGACGTCTTTATTTCCATTCAACACCGTGGTTTTGTGTTTCACCACTGATTTGTACCTGGCTTGTTGGCCATGTCATTTTCCTTTAAGCCTCACCAAATTCACTGCCAGGCAGTGAGGGTTCTGTGGCTGGCCACACCCACTATGGCAGCCATGTTAAGGCCGGCAAGCGGCCTGATGGGAGTCGCCTTGTGAGAGCACCCGCGAGTCTCCACATTCCAACCTACCCGTAGACCCCCAGCAGTTCAGCTTATCATGAGAAATATCCCCCGGCAGTGGTGGCTGCCATTTTATTATTATAGGATGGCCTGGAGTGATGCTACACCAGCGGCATTATGGGTGATTAAAATGGCGGGTGGACAAAACCACCTGCCACAGTGTACAATGCAGCTGCTGCCTGCCAGTGTGAGACTGGTCAAGTGTTCTCTTTAATAGAGGGCAGTCCTCTGTTCGGAACTTGTCCTCTTTTTGCAGGGCCATCCAAGTCCAGTCTGATTTAGGAAGAGCAGAGCCTTGCAAGCATTTCTGCCTATTAAGCATCTGGCCAGCCAAGTGAGCAAGGCACATGCGTCACAATTTATCTTTATGGCAAGATGCACTATATTTCTATGAAACGTATCGCCATCATTCCTAAATGTGCATCTATACATCTAAACAAGCACTTGCAAAATCTGTGCAAACTGGCACCTGGTTTGGTCATTCACAAGTAGCCACCCTGCTTGCCAGCCGCAAGTAAATGGGCAGCATGCACTTTTAGAGGTCGCCTGGCACTTGCTAAATGTATTCGGGTGTAAGTATGAATTCGTGTAGGAGACATTACTTGGCATCTCAGCTCTGAGATTGTTATGTTTGTGTGTAGCCACGCAGTAGATTGGACCCTTAGCGATGTCCTGGAAATCAGGCCTTGCGCCAAAGCTCCACAATTGCCTTCAGATATTTCCTAGCATTTATTTTAAACCCAGTTAATTTCATGGTGGGCGCCCAGTTCCTTACAAACTTGCTTAGAATTTTATCCCCTTGTTCTCCCGTCAGGAAAACACTGCAGGTTTGCTGCGTGGGTGTGCAAAGACTGCAAGACACAGAATAGCCATGGGAGCAATTTAAAGTAAGCGTATTTATGGAAAAGTAAGTCCCGCTGAACTCAGCAGGACTTGAGGTCTGACTAAAACATGTTTAGGCTCAGGCTGTTATTATGTTTGGCTGGGTCAAAATATGATTTCATCGAGGCAGGAGGAGGGAAAAGAATAAAGGAGGGGAAAGAGAAAAGAGCGGCTTTCACGTGCACCTCGGGCTTTAATTTCCACTGAATGCTTGGCTCAAAAGGCAGTACACCCTAATAGGCTACAAAAATATAATCACAATGTGCTTTCCAATTAAGGTGAACAAGCCTGTTAGCTGTGCCTCAAATGGCCCCTTGGAGAGAAGAGGATATCCATTTTCTGAGCCATATGGAGCCGGCAATCTTGCCGTACCCTGCAAGTGCCGGTTCTTTCTGGGGGGTCCTTCTCGTGGTTTAAGCTCTTGCTTCAAAGTTTAAGATTTCCTTATCTTGGATGAGGTGCTCAGTAGCATAACAAGTAGCGATCTGAGACAGATTTTCTGCATAAAGGCACAGAGGTTTTTCCCTTCACATTCAGGCCAATCATATATCGAGCTCCCTTCACCCCTGAAAAGAGTCCGCTTACAGGCAAGACATGCACACACAGCTAAGAATTGATCGAGGCCCCAGGGTGTCCCTGCTACCTGCTTGCTTGGCCATGTGCTCGGGTGGCTAACATCCCTTTTAGGCCCCACAAGCATCTCACAGTGCTGCTGCATCAGATCTTTGGGGGTTTGTGGGAAAGCAAATATTTGGTGCTTCTTGGCAGCTATGGATATCATCATGTGAGCCCACAGCTGGGGGGCCGTGTGAGCTTGTGGGGCATGACCAGTTCTGCCCACAACCCTACCAACACTCCATTCGTGCTGCCCACCCTGCTGAAAACACACACTGCCATCTGTCCCATGCAGACAGAAGTGGCACATTTCTGAGATGCTGGAATATTTATGAACATTCCATGACACTTCAGCTGCAGAAAAGCCATGGGTGGCAGGGACCTGCGTAATAATGTAGCAGATTTCCGTCTGATGCCTCCAGCTGGTTCTACATAAGTTGTTGTTGAGTACTGGATCAGGGCCGTGGAAAATAATAAAAGTGAAATGGCTGCCACACAAATGTAAAATAGGACACGTGAAAAGCATAAAGACATTAAAATCATCTTCATTCATTGCCCAAACCCTACCGGCTTTTACAAATAGAAAACTTTGGTATAATCCTTGGGAAATGTTTATTAAATTATTATATTTTTGTTATATTTATATCCTACCTTTTATTCTCCCCCTCCTTCCATCAATCTTACCCTCCTCTCTGTTTTATTTTCACAACAACAATCCTGTGAGGTAGGTTAGGCTGAGAGTCTGGGATTGGCCCAGAGTTACTCAGTGAGCTCCTTGGCTGAACATGGACTCAAACTTGGAGCTCCTGGATCCATAGCTCAACACTCTAACCATTAGGCCACAGTGGCTCTGCAGTGGATCATGCAAGGTTTCTGACTCCTTATTGTTTAACAGCAACTAAAATTCTCCCACTGCTTTAAAATTGAGCTGTTCAGGTGGAAGAAAGCTTGGGGTGAAAACTGGGAGCGGTGTTCGGGGCAATAAGACGGTGAGCTCAGGTCTGCTATCAAAAACAGACCTCTGGGCTAGTTGTGCTCAGAGGCACCTTTGTTCCTGAAATCTAAGCGTTCATCTGCCTCTGCTTGGATTTAGTTGGCAGACCTCAAACTTGTAGCAAAACTCCACATGCATCATGAAAATCAGAAATCTGGCAACCTGAGGTAGGGAACACTTCCTTCCAGGTGTAGTAGTCATTTATTTATTTATTAAATTTATATCCCACTTTCCCCCCTCAAAGTGGCTTCCATCAGTCTCTTCCTCCTGCTCTCAATCTTATCCCTGCAGCAACAGCCCTGTGAGGTGGGCTGGGTTGAAAGTCTGTGACTAGCCCAAAGTCGCCCAGTTGTCTCCATGGCTGAGGAGGCACTGCAACCCAGATCAGAATATCTAAAATCCAGATAATAGATTATTATTCTTGATGATGGAGGTGTCGTGCTAAAAGAGGATCCTTGTGGCTCAGAGCCTCAGTTGGGAACTATCATTGTCGTAATTTGAATTGTCATTGTCATAATTTGAATTGCTCCATCAGTGCTTCCATCCACTCCCATATGAGCCAAGAGATGGGAAACGGGTCTGTCCACATCTCCTCCTCTGGTATAAAGACCAACGGAGGGTTTCCCCTCTGCCTCTTATCCACAGCTTCAAGGGTAGACATGACTGGGCATGTGTCAAGGGCCCATGCCCTGGCAGGGCCCCTCTGACGAGGGCCCCCTAGAGTTGCTCCTCCCCGCCATCATCGCAACCTGCTTCTGCCCCTGCTTCTCACCTTGGTGATGGTCGGGTGAGCAGGAGACACCCCGGGCACCTTGCTCACAGCTCTTTGCTGGCCCAGCAAGCCCAGGACAGTCACGGCGAGCAAGAGTTGCCGGCGACTGTGGCAGAGAGAAGGCGACCTGCTGAGGGAGGGGACCTTTGCGGGGGCTTGGCTCAGGGGTCCTGCGAACCCCGGGGCCGGTGCGGACGATCCACCATTCCTTCTCCTGCCCTCCTCTTGCAGTCCTCTCCTTACACCTTCCTTTCCTGACTTCCACTCTGTGAGCCTCAGTGACAGACAGCAGCAGAAGAATGTCGAGAGCGGCTTTTTCCCAGGCGTCTGCCGGTTTTCCCACCAGGGAGGAAGGGACGTTGTGATCCTCACACCAGAAAGGGGGCAAGGAACATGATGTGCTGAGACCAGCAGCCACAATGGAAAGGGGGTCGTTTCTTAGAGACGAGGGCAGAACGTGGGTTTCTAACCTGTGGATGCCAACTTTCACCTTGGCATTGCTCCTGTGCCCTTCTTTGGAGCCTGACATGCAGAAAGTAAACAGGGGAAAGTTCTTACCCTCCCACCCCATAAAATGGAAATAAAGTGGGGGGAAAGCTTTAGCTGTTAAATTTCTGTGAGTTAAACTAATGTTAAGGGTTAGGGCAGCAAAATAGATGGCAACCTTCTTCCGAGGGCCAGCGCTGTCCTGGATATGACTCTCCGTTCCAACCGCACCTGAGCAGCTCAAATGTAATATAGCATTTTTAATTAACTCCTAATTAGCATCTTTGCTAGCAAGTGCACCAGGAGCTGTCTGGGTTAGGTTTTGCCAACCGTACACTAATAATACTTAAGGTGACATTTTGCCTTAAAGCACAGCAACATCAATGGAATTTTTGCTTTCTTTTTTCATCTACGGCCTTTGTTTTCTTTTTACATCTACAGTGACAACATTTCCCCACACCAGCTGCAGCAGTTATCATCATGTTTCAGCCCCAGAGATCTCCAGCAGTGACAGTTTCTAGAAAGCTTGCTTACCTAGCTCCATTTTTATACTCACAACAACCCTGCAGGGTAGGTTGGGCTTAGACTCTGTCGCTGGACCAAAGTCACCTGGTGAGCTTCATGCCTGAGTCGGGACTAGGACCCAGTTTTAGTGCTAAGCTGCCTGAGCACCACTGAACCAAAGTCCCCTGCCGCTGGGGCCTGGAGCCCCCCTTCTAGGCAAGGCAAAACCCAGCCTGGCTTCCTCCATCAGCCAGAAGAAGTGGAGCTACTGGGAGCCTGTCCCCACTTTCTCTCAGGCAGAACTGCTGTGTCCAACGGGCCAGGGCCCTCCCACTGCAGGACCAAAGCAAACCCTCGACAGGCCCTGACATCCACCGAAGGCACCTGAAGGCCGCGGGGTCAGTGGACACAACACTTCGGTCTGAGCAGGATCACCCGCCGGGGAAACCTGGCCTGCCCCAAGGGGATCACAGTGCCCATGTTGCAGGTCCCCACTTGCTTTCTCCCTTGGTAAAACTGATCTCCTTCCTCGCCCTTCCCCCTCCTCTGGTCTTCCCTGGTCTGCCGTGTCTTTAGCTCGAGGGTCTGAAGAAGTGAGCCCCTGCCTCACTTTACAGACAATATCCGTCTGGAAAATGGGAGAGAAGCTGAAATATATTGATAAAAGTCCATCTGGGGAGAGGAGGCCCCTTTCCCAGCATGAGCTGCGTGGCGTGACCAGGACTGGCGATCACTACAGACATGGCTGGGCACTGGCTGATGATCCACCCTGCAGCGGGGGCCCCCTGGAAGTCTCTGGGAGGTGCTCAACCCCAGAAGCTTCTCTTGATGAGGGGGCAAGTCCCCTCAAGAGCAGGGGGTGCAGCAAGAGTAGGAGTGACTGCCTTCGGACGAGGGCTTGCAGCCCAACAGGGCCCATGGACAATGACCCCCTGGCACTGCTCCTGCTTTCCGCACTGCTGCTCGCTCGCTCGCCCGCCAGTCGCTCGGCTGCTCGGGCCAGTATTGGTGACAAGGAGGCCAGAAGACGCTGCAGGCACCTTGGCCCTCGAGGCAGTGTGAAGAAGCAGAGCAGCTGGGGACCATGGCAGGGAGGCAGACGCCTCGTTGCAGGAGGACCCCCTCTACTATGTCTTGCCCCCGCTAGGGCCCCCCAAAATTTGAGGCCAGCCCTGGCCAGGATCGTTTTCCAGGCTCTCTACTGCGAGTCCAACACAAACCAGGAGTATAAGAAAGTTTCCTAGAGAAGAGCAAGTCTTACTGGATGGGAAGCTAGCAGAGGGGAACACTTCCTCTGTTTGGCTGGGAGGCGCTGGGAAGACACCAAGGGGCGCGCGATCCATGCAGGCGAACCGAGGCTGCCTTGAGCTGACAGCCCATGCTGGGCCCCAGCCAGAGCTGCAGTGCTTCACACACTAGAGGAGAATGCCTTGGGGACTTGGCCGTACATTTTCCCCTTGGATGAGTTCAGACCATCCATTAGCATCCACGGGAACAGCGAGCACCGCTCGGAATGGGGTGGTTTAATCTGGAGTCAGTAAACATCCCTTCCTATATCATTCTCCCCCCCCCCCATCACCCCCTGCAACTACCCTCACACCCTGTTAGATGTTCACACTTTGGAGTGCCTGGAGCTGAAGGCAGGCGAGAGCGCATCCATTCAGCACTGGCTGCACACACCAGACACATCCTTGTCAAATCTCATTGCTAGAGGTCAGTGTTTTGGTAATTTTCTTTTCTTTATTATTCACTGGCTGGAATCAGAACAATATTTCCTAGGGCTGTTGCAGGAATCCACAATGGATTCAAATAGGCTTGGATTTCTGTGACTCTGACCAGCAAGTTTTGCAGGGTCCTGCCTTTTTCGGAATTCTCCAGTCTTGTGGACTGGTTTTGCTTTGTCTTTACTTTTGCAGAAGTTTGCAGACAAACAAAATGGGCACAAGTTTGCCATTCTCAGACAAAAAATACAATTCTCTCAGCGGCACTGGAACGGAAGACATCTGAGAATCCACGAAATGCAAATGGAATGCATTTCACATCCCTAACCTTTCCCCCACCATCCCGGCCCTTTCTTTCCCAATTTTTCCTACCCCGACCCCACGTGCAAAAGGTGGGCTTTCTATTCCTTACAGAGTTACACCATTAATAACGCAGACAGTTTTTAAACTGACCTTCGCCTACCACGGATGTAACTGAGACATAAACATTTCATATGGATTCTTTGGGCCCTAACCCGACCAATGAAGCAGACTGCAAGACGGGAATACTTACAACTTCTGTGGTGGAGGGGAAGCTGTTCTGGATGGTACAGCCCAGTAACGGGGTGGCCACCGTCACTTCCGCAGCACGATTTGGCTTTCGAGCGCACTTTGAAGAGTTCCGCAACCGCTTCCATCGGGTGTTGTGGTTTTTCTCTCGTGATCTGCTTCTAGGCCTGTAGGAAGAAGACGACAGTACAAAGTCATGATTCACCCTTTATTATAGACAGAACCCACATTTAGCCATTATAAGCAGAAATTTTGGGCAATGGGTTCGTTGCTCATGTGCAAGCATTGACTGAGCAGAATGCTCCGAAGCTTAGCAGTGTTGGAGAGACTGATTTGAGGGTGGCCCTTGCTAATTTTGGGGTGGAAAGGATCATAAATGATTTCTGTAAGTGTGTAATCTCAGGCATGTTTAGCCAGGAAAAAACCCTACAATTCTCAGCACTGTCCAGCCAGCCATGCACAGCATTTGATGGGCAGCCTTCAGCAGTTCGACAAGTTCTGCCAGTTCTCCTGTCTGTTGTTCCATTTCTACTGTGCCTTCTGGGGTGTGATTTGTTGTGTCAGGTAAGGGGAAGTGCTTCCTTGCAACAGTTGAATTATTACATTGCATTTTTATACTTTGCCTTTATTCCTCTTGCAAATAACCTAGGTCAGCTCCTCTCCCTTTTATCTTCACAACAACAACCCTGTGAGGTAGGGTAGGCTGTGACTGGTCACCTGGTGAACTTCCGAGTGGGGACTACAACCCAGATCTCCTGAGTTCCAGCCCAACATTCATGCTGCCCTGGCTCTCAGAAGGACCTGTTCCTGCTCCCAAATGTGTTTTTCCCCAGTCTTTTGAGAGATACTAAGGTTTGTTTTCCATGTGCCCATTTTCTGTTGCAAGGAAAGGTGGAATGAGAGGTGGAAGAGAATGACTTTAGTTCATATCACATGGCAGCCCACTGTGGGCAACCAGCCATGGTGGCTGCCATGCTGTCCAAGCCAGGGTGGTCTCTTTTCCATGAACAAGCCCCCTGGGCACCCATGGCTTGTCTTAGGGTTGTTCTTACCCACGATGGCTTGCTGTGCAGTCCAAACCAAGCAGGGTGGTTTTATCATGGGTTGTTCGGAATGGCTTCCCTACTACTTGTGTTTGTGATCTTGCCAGGACTGCCCTTTTATGGATGCATCCTGGAAGAACGGCCAGTTTTTCTGGACCTTTCCCACCCATCCCCTCCTGAGCTTGGAAAGAGAGCCGTCTGCAAGGGAGCCGGGGAGACCTTTCCTCAGGTCGGAGAGAGACTGCAGTCAGACTAATCTGCACACACTTGGTAGGGACTGGGTGCCTAGTTCTCAACTGAAAGGTGAAAAAGCAGCAAGGGGAGACACACTCCTCCTTTCCATTTTATCCTCACAACAACAACCCTGCAAGGTAGGTTAGGCTGGAAGTCAGTGACTGGTCCAAAGTCACCCAGTGAGTTTCACTGAGTGGGGACTGGAACCTGGGTCTCCTGAGCGTCAAACCAGCTCTCTTGAACATTACTCCACACTGGCATGGAAAGGAATGCCTGAGCACAGAGACAGTAGAATCTGACTGTCGGAAGACTGACCTGCTCCCATGGCTCTCCGAGAAAGAATTGGTGCTCTCCGAGCCTGCCCGGCCGTGACGGTGACGGTGGCGTTGCGATTTTGGTTGTCGACCACGAGAACTTGGAAAAGGAAGAAGGAAAACAACATAGCATTAACCTGTGGGCTTGAGGTGTCCCAGGTGCATGAGACGATGGGATAAGTAGTAAGTTGCATTAAATCCAGAGGCTAGGCATAGGGGTGTTGAACCCCTTTGAGCCTGGGGGCTGCATTCCGGGGTGGATGAGGCTGCAGGCAAAGTGGTAGGGGGCAAAAATCACATGATACCTTAGGAGACATATGCTGGCCTTCCAGGAAGGGGCGGGGGGAGAGTCTGCAGAGAGGGGAGGAGGCCATCCAGTGATTGGCTTTCAGAGCAAACAGTGGGGCCAGGGGGAGGGTTGCAGCCTATGGGGGAGACTCAGAGGGCCAGATTTGGCCCCTGGGCCACAGACTCTGCACCCTCACTTTGCAGCAAGACACAAGCTAGCAGGCCAGTGTCCTCATGTTCTCTGTTTCCAGCACTGAGACTCTGATGTTATTTCAGTGTGTAGCCAAAGCAAGATATTCGGTCATGTCATGCAAGAACTGTGCATGGTCTGTCATCATGGGATGCTGCAGACTGCTGAGGAATCATAGAAAACTGGTGTTGGGGAGGGGAGAAGGAATGATAGAGTAAAAATTTCTCAGAGGGGATTAAAACAACTCCCCCTCTCCCTCATATCGTCAAACTTTCCAGAATTCTTAGATTAGATCTTGGATCATTATCATTGTGTAAAGTTCTTCCCAGAATACAAATATTGTTTTAGGGGGCAGTTAAGGGTGGGTAGCAATATTATCATCAACGTTTTTTTCATACCTGTAAAAGAAGATATTCCATAGTTTCAATTTTTTCCAGTTTGGGGAGGAAAAACCCACAAAGCCCCCTGGGAAAGAACAATTCCCCCCATTTTTTCCTCCCAGGACCCTTATATCACATCACTATTGATACTTATGATCACAGCTGAAGGTGCATTGATGGAAACACAGAAATAATTACAGCATTTGGGGTACAGCAACGACAGAACATCACTTTCAGTGTGGGGGCCAAATTCAACTGAGGGAAGCTTGTAGGCACCACATCCCAGTTGGAAGGGGTCTAAAAGTAAAGAGGTAGCAGCAAAAATGTCCCAGTGAAGCATCTTGTAAAAAGCTGTGGGAAAGTTGCAAGACCATCAACTGTTTGGTGGCTGGGGAAAAGAGGGTGTGGCCAGGGGAAGTGGGTGGGGCCATCTTGGGGACGCCCCCTGGCATTGAGCATTCAGCTTCCAGAGAATATTGGCTTTGTCATGAAAAGTGAAAGCCAAGCAAGGCTTTTGCTCTCATAATTTCTGCATGATTTGGGGAACAGAAAGAGCTGCTATGGAAGATTTTCCCAGGTCAGGGTCATAAGAGAGATTTAGTTTCTTCCCCATGACCTTCAGAAGAAATCATGCAAAATGGCAAGCATTTTAAGAATATGCAAGAAAGGAAAGCTCATGTTAACAGATTATAACTACATAATGCTTACAGGATACCAAGCCCAGCTTTTCTGGAAACAGTTTTTGGATTGGTACTCCATTATCATCCTCTCAGATCTATTTGCATGGCTAGCAACCAAACAGGAAATGACCTTGGAATCTCTATTCCACACACAGTAAAGATAGATCGGTTGTTAGCATTCGCTCCAGAGGTTTTTAAAAAGCTTGAAATTAGCCCTAGAAAAGTTTAAACTAATGTTTCAGTAACATTAGTTTACATTCAGTAACTGTAATGTTTTATTTAAGGCACATGTTAGATTGAAGAGTCTGGGCAGGTATATGTCAGGGTATGTCCTGGACGCAAAGGAGCTTCCTTCGTTGACTTGAAAGCTGGAATAGATCAATGGCCTCCCAACATTATTAGGGGGTGGTGGCGGCATATGTGGTGGGGGGGTGGCATCCAAGATGCTGTGATGAGTCCCCCCCCCCCCCCACTCACAGCCAACTTGGGAAAATCTTTTCCATGGGGTTTCCATAAGGAAATAATAATCATAGGATTACTGCCTTAAGTTTCTTTTCAGTCTTAACCGTGTGATTAATGGGGCTTGGAAACATCTTGGATCACTTTTAGAAGTAGCTGGAGATGGTGCAGAGAATACTTGGAGGCCTGCAGTTTTACTCACAAATCATGTGGACCCAACAGAACAAATCTTGAGTACCGCAGAGTGATAGATCATCAACCCATGTGAAAACAGCAAATAGTTTGCTTTCCTAAGAGCTCACGGCATGAATGCTAAAAGAGGCCCTTGAAGTTCTCTCGTGTCAACAACTCCATTTTTCTTTGCATGCTCACTGTGAGAGCACATCAACAGTTCAATTTCGTGTTTGCTGCTCTGAATGGGACATGCCTGCATTTGGCCAAGTGAACCGGCACGTTCAGATGCAACCACTGGAGCCTTTTATTTTGAGATGGCCCTGGCAGTTTTAGCCTTCAAGGCTGGAGCAAGAGTCAGGGAATTGGGTTCAGGGATCTCAGCTGCATTCCTATGGGATCATTCCCCAAATCCTTTATAGTTTGGGCACACTGCCACCCTTACTTTGGTATAGGATAGGCTTTGATTTTTATTTTACCACCATTACCACCATAATTTTTGGAGCATTGTTCTAAAGCTTCTCTTTGATTTCTGTATCTCTTTTCACCCCCTTTAATTTCTTCTGTCTAAATATGGTCACTATTTACCCCAGAGAGTCCCTTTCCTAGGGGTTATGCCTGGCGCTCCATGCCGGTGAATCTATTTTGGGGCTGGGCTTAAGCACTTTGGATTACTCCTAGAAAGCTGCAATGCATAAGCACCCCAATGACATAACAGTCACCAGGCATTCTTGGGTCTTTTCCCAGGTAAACTTTAATACTAAAGACAGTGCTGACTACTTTGCAACATTTTAGGCTAGGCGCACTGGCTTGAACCCTCAGTTCCATACACCAAGCATGCCCTGAAATTTCTGAGCGTCTCCTGGCTCAGGCCAAGGCAGGAATGGAATGGGGATGGTCGCCTTCCTGGATAATTGTGAATTCTTGACTAACTGCAGGGAGTCTGGGTAACTCAGCTTTCTCCCTTGCCTTCTAGCTTGATAGAGTAATTATTGTTATGATAATTCTTTCCTCTGCCCAACTCCTCCCCTTTTACTTGTCCAAATGTTAACGCACATGGACTGGAGAGACAGGAAAAATGTGGTTCTGGAACAGAGAAGGTACTTTTCATGCCTTCCTTTCCTTTTACTTTCCTTCTGGCCCAGATGGAACGGCTGAGACCTGATTTAATCCACCCCCTTTTAAATAGATGTGCCAATTGTACAACGATGAAAAGGTACAATGGAAAGAAGGGGGTGGGAAAGAAGCTGCAGCACTGACAATGCCGTCTGTGCGTGTGCTTGTGTGCGCACGGAGGGGTGGGCATTAGTGGAATAACCCACTGCTGAAAACCTCAATTGCCCACGGGTCTACAAAAGTTATTTTTACCCCCCCCCCAAATTTTTTCAGTGCTGCATCCTCCCTACTGAATTAAATGGATTACCCAATTGTTGGAGAGGGTTTACAAACATTCCCGTGCTAAAGCAAATGGGTAACGAGAAATCAGAAGATTTCAGATGTATGATCTGAAACCTGGAGTTCCTACTAGGATTAAATGGGGGCAGGATCCCTGCAAAATGCTATTCCACTCGTCCCTATAAAACAGATTAAATTATTCTCTTCTGGCAGCAGGCCACACACAGCCACTGAAGCTGCATTTGCTCCTTGGTAGCTCCAGTACCAAAACAACTGCAGGTCCTGGCAAGTTCAGAGCACTCATTGCGGCAGAGAGGCTCCAAGGAATGTGGCTCTGCTAGGCGTATGTGGAGAGGAGGAAAGTGACTGGAATATTTGCACGACCAGAACAAGCCTCTTGGGGGGCTGCACTGTGGACAGGTGGACTTACAATCATGCAGACTCGCACAAGATTAGAAATGAAAAGGTCATGCTTGCCAGACTTCCTTCCCACACTTGGCCCCAGCTGGGAAGTTGGCTGAGCTGAGATCAAGTCTGTGAATGCTTGAGAACGTTAGAGGCTTCTTTGTGCAATGTACACAAAGTGCGTAATTCTTTGTGTAAAATATGCAAATTCTACATTCCTTTGCACGAGGTGTGCAAAACCCACAGGCAGAATTCTGCTTAAGCTCCCTTTCCGCCAGACACCCAGACACATGCTTGGCATGAGGTGGACTTAGGAAAGACAGACAAAGGGCTGGAGCCTGGAGAGCTGAGCTGAAGAAATCCAATGGATTTCCACTCCCAGCCGGATTCCTCTCACATCCCTATGCAAATTTCTTTTTAACAACATGGCAAAATCAAGCATGCAAAATTTCAAGAACTCCCCTCCAATGGGTGCTAATTGCTGCCAAAAGAATCTTGCTACCTCTTGGCTTGACTTAGGACAAATCAAGTCAACAACAATGGAGGGAATGCATTGCATGGCCGAACTGAGAAAATCTATTGAGTTTTCACCCTCCCGGTGGAATTGTTATACACCCCCAGTCCTGCCAAAGGGCTCCAGCTCCTCTCCTTGCTTTATTCACATGGTAAGTGGAGAGAGAAAGAGAGAGAGACATCGGTAGGGAACTCTGAACAGTTCCTGTGGGTGGACAACCACCCACCCAGCACTGCCCACCTAGAAAGGAATGCTTGTTTTCTCCCAGGTTTCCAGTGCAAGCAGTGAGAGAGTTTCTACTTACTGTTTCTTGTGTTTTCTTTCTTCCTTCCTTTTGCTTTTGGGGCTTGAGGAACTAAAGAAGAGAGAGATAGAGAACGGGTAGTTTGCCTTTCAGCAGGGCATGTAGACCTGTAGGGGTCAGGTTTAGCCAGGATGCCCCCCACCTTTTCTGTACCCATTGGGGTGTCTACATTAAAAACAAAAAGCAAAGTTCCTGAGAAGCTGCAGAGATGCTTCAAAACAACGCGAGGGTGTCTAACCACTCCCATCTCCAGTGCCCACAGATGCCTCGGGACCAGGTGGGGCACTCAGAGGCACCTTTGAAGGGCAGACAGA